AGTTTAGGGAGAACTGACATCTTTATTAGTCTTAGTTCCATGACATGAACATAGTATGTCTCTTCAGCTGTTTAGGTCTTTGGTTCATCAGCATAATTTTCATCATAGGGATCTTATGTATGATATGTTTGTTAGGTTATAGCTTCAAATTGTAACTGGTATTGCATTTTTAATTTCCACTTTGTTGTCAGCATATTGAAATGCAGTTGATTTTAGTTTATTGATCTTGTGTCCTGTGACCTGACTGAACTCATTTATCCTAGGAAATTATTTTTTAAGGTATCTTGTGATTTTCTATATAAATAGTAACATCATCTGAAAATAGACACAATTTTATTCTTCTTTCTCAGCCAATATCCCCTTAATTTCCTTTTCTTACCTTATTGCATTAGCCAGAACTTTTGAGTACCATTTTAAATAAGAGGGATAAGAGTGGCTATTACTACTTTGTTTCCTAAGCATTTGGTCTTTCACCATTAAGTATGATGTCAACTGTAGGTTTTTTAGTATAATATTCTTTTATGATACTGAGGCAGTTCCTCTCTATTCCTAGGGACTAAGTTTTGTTTTTTATTAATCATTAATGGGTGTTGCTTTTTCTGTATCAATTGATAAAACCGTGGGGTTTTCCTCTTTTAGCCTGTTGATTTGGTAGATTGCATTGACTGATTTTTGAACGCTGAATCAATCAACCTTGTATACCTGGATTAAACCAGGTTGTGATGTAGTTTTCACTTTTAAAAATATGTTGTTAGATTCCACTTATTAAAATTATGTGGAGAACTGATTCATCTAAGCTGATAAGAGATATTGGTGTGTTTTTTCCTTTCTGCGTTTTTTTTTTTTTTTTTTGTATCAAGGTAAAACTGGCCCCATCAATGAATAAATGCCTTTACTTCTGTGTTTTGGAAGAAATTGTGTAAAATTGATGAACTGTATTTTAATATTTTATGTTTTTTAAGAAACAAAACTTGAATTGTTCTCAGATGCAGTTGCTTCAGGTGAAATTTTTTCTTTCTTTTTTTTTTTGCAAAGGAAAAACATTTCAGGTTAAACATTAATTCTTTTTTAATATTTATTTTTTAGTTTTAAGTGGGCACAATATCTTTATTTTATTTTTATGTGGTGCTGAGGATCAAACCGAGTACCTCATGCGTGTTAGGTGAGCATTCTACCACTGAGCCACTACCCCAGCCCTGAACATTAATTCTTCAAGGTTATTTTATGGCCCAGTAATCTACCAAATATCAAATTCTGTGTATTGACCCCCCTGCCCCCATACTCCAAACACACGCTCACATGTATGTATATTTTAATGGTAGGACGAATGCAACAGTTAGTATTAGTCTTCAGTGCATAACCAGTATTTTTAATATATAAATGTTATCTAAATTAAATCTGATGCTGGATCCACCTGACTAAATTTTCTGTAATAAGATGGAGTGTGAATTATGGATCTGGAAAATAATTTGGAAATTGAATTGAGGGATTTGCTAGCATGTTCAAGGCAGCAGTTTGTGAACTAGTCTGCAAGTACAGGCCAAAGCCTATTAAGCCAATGGATCTTAACTTGGAATGAACATTAGAAAAAAAGAACACAAACTGAATACTCTGTGTGTGTGTGTGTGTGTGTATCCCCCAAATGTACTTTTCATCTACTGCATTTCCAGGACGTAAGAAAATAGCGCTTTAATATGTGACTGTGAAAATACAAAGGGAATTCTGATGTACATCATTGTTTAAGAATCACTGTACTAACTCTGAATGCATACCTTTCATGTATGTTTATTTCTTTTAAAAATGACAACATTAAGCATATGGAGTTATTTTTGATAGAATACACTTTTGTATAGGAACATGAAGTTTCAGGGGCTGGGGATTATTAGCTCAGTTGGTAGAGTGCTTGCCTCCCATGTACAAGACCCTAGGTTCAATCCCCAGCACCACACACACACAAAAAAAAAAAAAAAAAAAAAAAAGAGTGAGAGAGAGAGAGAGAGATATGAAGTTTCAGAAAGTAGGACCTGCCATTAAAACCTAATACATGTAAATTATTTTGCCATCTTTTTAAAACCACACCTTTAAAGTTACAATGTGAGCTTAAGAATATAAAAATATATATAATTTGGTTTATTTTATAAGTACCTCTTTATGTTTAGTGTTTAGTTAGAGATGTGATAGCATAGAAACTGATTATAGATAAGCTTGAGGAGTAGTGGAGAGATTGTCATAGTTTTTTCCATAATACATTTTCTCTCTACCTATATTTCATATCAATGAAATGATAGTCTGCATCTAGAAAATCACTCAGAAATATTGTTTACCTTTAAAAAATAATTAGTATGAATACTTTTTAAATAAATAAAATGGCCATTAGCTTATCTTTTATCTAAATTTACTCTGTCTAAATTGATGTGACATTGGTGTTGCTCTCCTCCCTTCTAAATGGTGAAATCCTTTCAGAAAAATCCTCAAAATCCTTTTTAGTACAGTGCTCCAGGCAGCCACTCCTTGATTGGAATTAACACCAGAGTTGCAAAGGGCAGGGTTCTTTGTTCTTCAGTTTTGTTTAATTTAAGGGGTATTACTGTGCCTCAGTGGAAACTTCTTTCATAAATTGAAGATAATTAAACAGTGGTATTTTAACACAAATGAAATGAATAAAATTCACAGGATACCCATCCCTAACAAAATAAACACAAGGCAAGTTAGCTGTACTGTTGTAATTAGGACATTGTTTTAAGACAGGGTAGCAGACCACACAATCTATGAGTCAAATGCAGCCTAAAGAAAGATTTTTACATTTTTAAATGATTGAAAAATTTTGAAAAAAATTTTTTTAGATGCAAAAATTAGAAGAATTTTTATAGTGTTCATAAATAAAGTTTTATTGGAACACAACCACATTCATTCATTTACTGTCTGTGGATGCTCTTGTGCTTCACAAGCAGAGTTGAGTAGTTGCGACAGACCATATGGCCTGTAAAGCCTAAAATACTTACTGTCTGGACCTTTACAGAAAAAGTTTGCCATCTCTGTTTTAAGATAAAGTGTGGGCAGTAAATGATTGCTTTGGGGTTTTTTGGTAAAGGAGGAAACTTAGTTTGCTCATATTTTGAACAAGTTTCTGAAAAGGAATAACTTAGAAAATGGCTGTGTATAAGATAAGTAGTAGTATCAGTCCTTCTTTTATAGACTGCAGTTGACAGTTACCAGCATAGTGTGCTGTCAGTTTATGCTATTATTTTTTCCATACTTGAGGGGAAAGTCCATGGTGCCATTACTACTCATAGATACTAGTGGCTTATAATTATATCTCTGTGATAATACATTTGTAGAGCAGCTCTTCTTAGGACTTCTTTAGGCTCTCAAAAACCTCAAAGAACTTTTTAAAAATGTGGGTTGTATCTGTTAATATTAATCATATTTGAAATGGAAGACAGAAAATTTTGAAATATTAATTTGTTTAAAAATAGTAATAAATCTGTTCTGTTAGTAAAAGAACAGATCTTTATGAAAATATATTCCAAAACAAAGAGAAATTAGCAAGATATTTTTTCATAATTGTTTTAGTAGAAGATAACTGAACTCTTCTCTTTGTTAAGTTTGTTGTGATATTTTATTTTGAATGAAGTATATGAAGGAAATCTGGCCATACACAGATATATAGTTAGGGAAAGGAGTAATATTTTAATAATGTATTAGCTATTTGTGGATGCTTTTCTTTGATTCCATACCAAACTCAGGTAGTTTATTTTCAAATCAGCTTTATTTAAATATAGTTTATGATAGAATAAAATATATAGTTTTAGATATACAGTTATTTTTTGTTGTTGTTTTTAAATGTATGGGCCTTTGTTTATTTGTAGGTGGTGTTGAGAATCGAATCCAGTGCCTCACACATGCTAGGCAAGTACTTTACCACTGAGCCACACAGCCTCAGCCCCTAGATACACAGTTCTATAAGTATAATGACCCTTAAAGTAAAGTATGAGTTCACCTTTGTACTCCCCTCACAGATTATTTTGAGTATTTTAGTTACTTGCTTTCCCAGCTAAGATTAAACATAGTTTCTTAAAAGTTAGTTGGTTTGGTATCACTGATGAATTTTCCATCCTTGATTTGTCTTACACATTGGATTTACTTATAAATGCTTTTGTAACAGTACCCATAATTCATTTAGAAAATATTGAGTCTCAACTATATAGACCTTCTAGAGATTAGTGCATTTCATTATTCACTCTTTAAAGGAGACCTTTGGGGGCTGGGGTTGTAGCTCAGTGGTAGAGCGCTCGCCTTGCACATGAGAGACCCTGGGTTTGATCCTCAGCACCACAAAAAAATAAATAAACGAAAGAAAGATATTGTGTCCATGTATAACTAAAAAATATTGATAATATCACCACTGATCTTTTCAGAAAAAAATTTTAAGTATTGGGAAGGTTTTAAAAATTTTAAAATTCTTATTTTTGCCTGGAAACTCAAATTTTAGCATTTTCAATACATCTGTCCATTTTTTTTTCTTGAGGTAACAGTTTTACTTGGTTTACTTTTAAGAACTTATCTGCCAGATACCCAAGTATGAATTTGTATATTGTACAGTCATACAAGGGCTTTTTCTTGAGGCAACCATTTTGCTTTGCTGTGCAGCAGAATTGCGTTTGCCTAGTTCCTATTTTGTCACAGGTATTGAAAAGAAGTCTATTCAATGATTGAAAATTAATACAGTTAATATTATCTGCTGCTTTTCATCAAGAGTATTCTTAAATGAAATGAAACTGGCGTTGTCCAGAGAAATTTTGTGATGTCTGAGATTATTGTGGTTATTTTTATACTTAAAGTCCAGGGATTAACCCGGAAACATAAATCTAAAATTATAATACTGGGAAGACAATAAATTTTGACATTTTAGGAATACCTGAAGTTGCTATCTTGGGAGACAAACTCTTCTTTTATAATGATAATATGTTATAGTAAGTTATTGTTTTATTATCTTATAGGTGCTATACTTGGTAGATCAGAAACTCAGGAGTGTCTTTTCTTTAATGCTAATTGGGAAAGAGACAGAACCAATCAAACTGGTGTTGAACCCTGTTATGGTGACAAAGATAAACGGCGACATTGTTTTGCTACCTGGAAGAATATTTCTGGTTCCATTGAAATAGTGAAACAAGGTTGTTGGCTGGATGATATCAACTGCTATGACAGGTGAGAACATACTTTATTTTCTTTGAAAGTGTTGAGTAATTTTCCTGCACCTGTTCCCCCTTTTGAAATAAGATCAGTGTATAGATTGTCACATGAATTTTTCTTGCTTTTTAAGTAAGGAATTTTGAAGACCATTATAATATGCTCTAATGACAAAATATGTATTTTAAAGTAATAAACATGGTATCTTTATGATGTTTTATTCTTGATATATTTTGAATATTCTATCCAGTAGTGAGACCTCTTAAGGAAAAATCATTTCATTGCCCACGTCGGAATTATGAACTTTTATGCCAATTTTAAGGAAAAAGGACTTTTAAAATTGCTTCATAAGAATATATCTGTTGAAAAATCTATCCTCAAGGAGACCTAACCTTAATTGTAGTATTTAATTTCCTTTCAGTTTTCTTCTTTATGTATTTGGAAGAAATTGATCTTATTACATCCCACCCTACTTTTTTCTTGCTACATAGGCCTTTGTTCTTTACCCCAAGAGACATTTTAAGTTGACATTCAGAATTACAGCAGAATTAACATAGTTCTCTTAGGAAGCTACATTTTATTTAAAAAATCTTTTATAAATTGTTCAGCACTGGAAGTAAAATATAGTGGTCATGTTATTGACTGCCTTTGATATTTCTCTAAGAAGTTGGGTAGATACTGAGCCACAGAATTTCCATTAAAGCAGAAAGTAAATGATGCCATTTATACTGAACCTGATATCTACTTTCAGGAGCATCAGTTGATTACCTGTGATCTCTGATCAGCTAGTCATATGTGACTAATAACAACATACATTGAATAAACCCTGAAAATTGGACTAGTTTCACATTTCATAACAAATTAAAGTGCAGTTATTTTGGTATATTTTTAGTGATTAGGGTATCCTTGTAAGTCTGAATTTTCCAAGGATTATTATTTTTTACACTTAACATGTTTTAGCAGTATTTCTGATTATTAGTCTGTCTGCTACCAAAAGTAGTCAAGTGATATGACCTATTATGAAAGGTAAATAGGAGGGATTTGGGAAACTTTCTTTTAATTAGTTTAGATCAGAGATTTCTTTTTGGGGGGAGGTGGAGAGTAAAAACTGTTTCCTACCTAAAACTAGCATTTCAACATGTGAGACTCAATGTTGAAATGAGTTGTGAGCCATTCACTGAAAGTCTGTGGAGTGCTTCATTATTCAGTGCAAATACATGCTTTCTTAGAGTGATAATTACTACACTAGCTTTGTTTGGGGAGACTAAATGCTAATAGAGAAGTATGTGAGTTTTTTTAATGCTCTAAATCTGATTGAAAAAAATTTAGTAAGGATGGTAAGAGAAGTAAAAGAAAAGAAGAAAGATTCAAGCAGTGTCCAAAAGTGGAAGAAAATAAAGAAAAATGAAATTGGATGGCGAAAAGTAATTTTCTTGAACTAATTCAGCTAGGTATAATCATGTTAATCTCCTATAATTTGAGGTATGAATCTGAATATTAATTTTTAAACTTGTACATTTCTTCTTATACATTGTTAAAACTTAGATTTGTCTTTTTACTTTATACTAAATAGGTATTAGTATAGATTATAATTTAAAATTTGATTTTGTTAAAACTATCTTCTTGAAATTTCTGGAAATTTTCCCTTAATAGTTAAATTTAACTTTATTTTTCTTACAGCCATCACAAAGATTCAGTTTATTTAAAAGGGTGGTTCTTTTTTACTTAAATATATATAGCTATTTCTTGGTAGTTGATTAGGGGTTGTTCTAGAGGATAAATCCACGTCTTTTCAGTGACTTAGGTCCCATTGACTGCCTCCCCTTTTCTTCTTAATTCCATCTAATTCTTAGCAATTTGAGTTACTAGGTCCTGTATGTTTGTTATTGTATATTTGTTCACTACTTGATGCTTAACCCAGTCTTGCTCATTGTGTTCAGAAAACAAATCTATTACTATTAAAAATGACAATATTAATTCCCAAAGCTAGTTTGGATTTCTGATTTTGAAATATGCTTATACATAAGATATGAGCTTGTATAAATAGGTATGTGTATGTGTGTATACTTATTATTATTCCTTATTATACACATACATACACAGATTTATATGAAGTTTTTAGTTTTTAATATCCATAAAAATGGGAAAGCTATATTTCAGTGAGCAAAAGCACTGCTAGCCTGAATTTTCTCATTGACTTATGTTGTTCTTCAAGCTTTTCTAATAATTAACAAAAGAAAGAAAAAAGATGCTTGGCATAGATTATTTATTAAAAACTGTATTAAAGCACTGGTCTCAAGGAATTCATGTGAATGTCATAAATTCAGCTGTTTTTGTCTGTTTCCTGATGAGATTTAGTAATAGCAGTCTAGGATACTTTTGGCTTTTAGGAAATGATCATTAGTCTGTATAATAAATGTGTACCAATAAAAATTTTTTTAAAAAATGTGATTCTCAAATATTAATAAAAATCTTGAAGTTGAATATAAGTGACTCATTTATTATTTATCTCTGAGAATATTGATTTTGATTATTTCTCTTCTGTTTGTAGGACTGATTGTATAGAAAAAAAAGACAGTCCTGAAGTCTACTTTTGTTGCTGTGAGGGCAATATGTGTAATGAAAAATTTTCTTATTTTCCGGAGATGGAAGTCACACAGCGTAAGTTCATAGGGAAAATACATAAGATTATTCAGCATGTAGACTGAAAACAAAGAATATTTGTGTTGATAGGATACTTCTATTTCTTCATATTCTATTTTTTTTTCAAATATTTGACACTATGATAAATATTGTAGAATTTTATAGACCAAATCTGAGTTGTTTTTTCCTTCCCCTTTCCACAGCCACTTCAAATCCAGTTGCACCTAAACCACCCTATTACAACATTCTGCTTTATTCCTTGGTGCCACTTATGTTAATTGCGGGGATTGTCATATGTGCATTTTGGGTATACAGGCATCACAAGATGGCCTACCCTCCTGTACTTGTTCCAACTCAAGTAAGTTATTGCGCCATACTTTGTACTATTTAAAATTTTATATTTTAAAGAAATATTACTGTGCTAAAACTAAGCTAACAGATTATTTTCTTTTTGAGTTAATTTTTGAATGTTTATTATCATGAGAACTACAGCTTATTTTACAAACATTAATTTGCTATGTTCTAAACTTTTCTCAAAAGTTGAGGTAGAGTAGAATGGGGGGTATCCCTATTCTTATTTTCTTTGTATAATTAATGTGTATGAATAACATTTTTTAAAAATTTGATTTTCAAATATTAATTTTGATTTTCAAATGTTCATTAATTAGAATGCAAGAATTTTGCTTTCGTTCTAATATGTGTAAGTAGGAGGTACACCCTACTTTCTTCTTGAGGATTAATTAATGGTAGAGAAGAAATGTTATTATAACCCTTTTTTTCTTTTCCAACCTCTTCTCTATTCTTAAATTTCTGGGCCTTTTTCAATACTATTGTCCAAACATTAGGATGGACCCAGAAAGATAACCAAGAAAGTATGAAAAAGAAGTATCATAATTTAGGAACATATCTTCATAAAAAGTGTTTTAGGGGGGAGGAGAGGAGCAGAAGAGCAACATTTCTCATCACGTGTTCATGTGTCACTGGTAGTTCAAAAAAAATTTTTTCCCCAACATACAAAGTACCTGTTGAAGACTAAAAACATTTTTTTAATCGCTCTTGTTTCTTACTCATCTTACCCTAAATATTTCTTGAAATAGAGATGTGATTGGTAATCAGATTACATGCATTACATTTTCCTCATTCTCTAACATGTAGGACAATTGACACTGGTCTAGTGCTTTACAAGAACTTTTTATGGAGGTAATTTAATGTTATACAGGCCCAGGAAAGCTGAAAACTTTTGGTTATACTTGCTTGAGACATCTCTCTAAATTCTAGTTTTTATTGAGTTTCTTTTAACTCTTAAGATCAGATTACTATGGCCTTCTGGATCTCTTGGTTTAACTTTATTTTTCTAATACCAGTAGGATTAATGGTTAAAACTTGATAGAAGAAAATGGTAAAGTCCTATAATTTAATGACCATAACAACTTCTTCCCTTTAAGCTTTATTTACGTAACACACTTCTTTCTTAGTACTTGCAGCAATCTGTTAGTATTAGATCATTGATCTCCATAACCTTTGGAAGATATGTATATGGAGAAGTAAACCCAAAGGTAAAATAAAATACATTGTTCAATAAATTGGATAAACAATACTTTATGTAATAATATGTAATAAAACATAAACAATGTTTTATGTATGTAAATAACTGAAACATTTTAACTTTTAAACAGTAGTGGCTACATTTGGATTTATTAAAAATCATTTGTAAAAGTGTTTTAAAGTAAAAAATTTTAGTACCTAATGTATATAATTTACTCCAGATAACCATAGGGTGCACTTTGCCTTTGTCAGTAGAAACTTTAAACTTTTGTTTTAGTACCTAAATTAAGAAGAGTATTCAATATTATAGTAGTTTTCTGAATTTACCATAGATTTGTGATGTGATATAAATAAACTAGAACCTACATTTGTTAAGGTTCTTATAGAAAGAATTTTAAAAAGATAATGTAATCCTATATTAGTTTATATCCAATATAGATATAACGTTGTAGTTAAGACATTTTTTATAAAGGACTTGCTAATCTATATATCAGATCACTTTATTTAGAAATACTGATTAATTCAAGAGTTCCTTTTTTAAAAAGGAACAATGAATGGGGCATGGTGGAACAAGCCCATAACCCCAGCAGCTCAGGAGGCCAAGGCAGGAGAATTAAGATCTCAACGCCAGCCTCAGCAAAAGCAAAGTGCTCAGCAACTCAATGAGACCCTGTCTCTAAATAAAATACAGGGGGTTGGGGATGTGGCTTAGTGGTTGTGTGCTCTGGGATTCAAGCCCAATAACTCCCCCTTCCCCTAAAAAAGAAAGATACCATAAGAACCTGGATCATAAGAATATCTGTCTCTGAACCTTTTAGATATTTGTTGCAATTACTAATGTTATCGTCCACATTTATTTAGTACTTGCATTGCTGTTATAAATTTATATGAATTGTAGAAAAAAAGTAGAAATACAGATTTAGTGATATAGTAACCTGAAGAAAAATGCAAGATGAGCCTGACTTTATGCTTTCTTGCTGCATAAACCATGGAAAATAGTCATTGCCATTGATGTGGAATTTCGCTTTCATCACCTCTCACTGTCTCTGAAACAGTATGGTTTACGCAAACTGTAATTCTGTAAGAGTGTTCAGTAGCCATCCTGTGACAAAAGGGTTACCTTTTATTTAAAAATAAGTAATGATAATTTGATTTACATAAGATATAAATGTGTGTTCTGGGGTGCCATTATATTATTCATAAATACATAAATTATAATATAAAAAGCATATAAAGAAAAAGTTTTTCAATAATTTCCAGATTGCAATACTAGTGTATAAGGATTATATTTGGGATTTGTTAGAAAATATAATTTCCTGGATGATACCCTGGAAAATATGGAATGTGGTCTGTGAAATTTTTTTTTCAGTAAGTTTCCCAGGTGAATCTTGTGACCAGCCAGATATGGAAAGTACTTATTTAATCTTACTTCACAGGACCAAATATGTAGTGTAAGTTACAATTTTACAGATAGAGAAATTGAGACAGCAAAACTCACAAGTGTTAGAGTTGGAATGTGAACCAAGAACCCTCTGACACTGAAGCTTTGTTTCTATTGCTGATTCAGTTCTGCCTGTCTTTAGAAAGCAGATGCTTCTGGTATTTCACATAATTCAACATCTCCTGCCATCTCAGAATCATTCTATAGGATAAATTATTTTTCTACTTTTGGATATTGAATAGTTTGTCTAACTACCAAAACAAGCAGTAACATTATCTCACATAACATTATCTTAAAGGACAAAACAAGCACACCGCGACACACACACACACACACACACACACACAGACACAGAGAGAGAGAGAGAGAGAGAGAGAGAGAGAGAGAGAGAAATGTGTTTTCCATTTAAAAAATTGTTTTAGGGCCTGGGATTGTGGCTCACAGGGAGAGTGCTTGCCTTGCATGTGTGAGGCACTGGGTTCGATCCTCAGCACTACATAAAAATAAAATATATTGTGTCTACCTATAATTAAAAAATATTAAAAAAATAAAATAAAAAATTGTTTTAGCATTGGGCTTGGTAGTAGAGGCCTATAATCCCAGTGGCTCAGGAGGCTGAGGCAGGAGGATTATGAGTTCAAAGCCAGCCTCAGCAATTTAGTGAGGGCCAAAGCAACTCAGCAAGACTCTAAATAAAATACAAAAAAGGGCTGAGGATGTGGCTCAGTGGTTAAGTGTCCTTGGGTTCAAAGTTCAAACCCTGTTGGAAAATAGTCCCCAAAATGACTATTTTGAAGGATTAAGAGGTAATTAGGAGAGGAATACTGAATGTATGGTATTAAGGTGTCTTTATGAATTTTACCCCACAGTCATGTATATCCAGTGTAATTTCAAGACTAGTTGAGAAAAGATTTTAACATTTTTGCCATGGATTATTGGAGTATTCTTCTTCCAAATTCTTTAAATGTATAACCACAATGACCGAATTTGTTGTTACTTTCTTAGGGAAATTTCTCAAATCCTTGGTTAGCGAAATGAGATTGATCAAATTATGTGCATGTGTGAATATGACATAATGAATCCCACTATTACATATAATTATACCAATAAAAATATCTTGGCTAAAGACTATTTTGTGAATAAAGTAGTCTGTTGTTAGGAATTGGTGACATCATAATTAATAAAACTGTTCTGATATTTAAATGGTAGGATTCTTTAAGACATCAGTTTGTTTAGATTTTTTTTCTAGTTTCATTAGTATTTTTATCTTTTTTTTTTTTTTTTTTTTTTTTTTTAAAGAGAGAGTGAGGGGAGAGAGAGAGAGGAGAGAATTTATTTATTTTTTAGTTATTGGCGGACACAACATCTTTGTTTGTATGTGGTGCTGAGAATCGAACCCGGGCCGCACGCATGCCAGACGGGCGCGCTACCGCTTGAGCCACATCCCCAGCCCAGTATTTTTATCTTGAAGAAGTGATACAGGGATATAAATACTTTAAAACATGGTTCTTTTAATTATGATTTTTAGTAACCAACAAAAATCATTCTAAAACAAATCTATCATAATTAAAAGAACAGAAAAAGCATTTTGTTATTTTTTAAAAAAATTGAAGCCATGCTTCTTTATGATGGATAACTACTGTTGTTTCTACCACTATTTAATTTCTTCCCAATTACACTGGATGAAAGCCCTGTAGACAACTATTTCTGACTTTGGCCTTGTCGTTTATTAAATCCTATTCCTTCACCTTTTTCTTCCTTACTGATCCTATTGTGGTTTAGGACATTTTTACATCTGTGGTTGTGATTAATTCTGTATCTTATAGTTGGTTTTCTTGTTTTCATTTCTCTTTCTTCATCTGTACTATTGTTAGAATAGCATTTTACATGTTTGATTATGTTGTTTCTGTGTGATCCACTATATGATCCACTATAAAGGATATAAAATTTGAGCATAACATGTGTCTTGTACTCTGCCTTGTGGTTCTTTCTTCCCACTACACCCTAGAACATTCATCATATGTATCTGAATTGTTTTGATTATTTGCCATCCTTGAAAAAATTGACAAAATAGTGGTCAAGTCATTTTCTGTTTTCTGCAATTCGGATGAATTATGTTGGGAAGGGCTTATAGCAATTTGTGTTCATATTCCATCTTCTGTTAGATTGTAAGCTCCTTAAAGACTGAGTATATATTGTAATTACTGCTACATTTTACACAGGTGTTTGTGTGTAATCACCATTCTGTAAGTGCTGAATTAGTGAATTGAATTTGTTGTTTGTAGAGTTATACCAAGATGTTAATAAAATATTCCAGTTTTTTTTTCTTCAATTGTACATTTTGTGCTTTAGGATTTTGCCTTGAGATAAAT